GGGGGTAGGATCAGGAGAAAGATAATATTCATGACAATTTTCTTTACAGCTTTGAATCATGTCCATGTATCTAAAAGTAGATGCAAAATAAAAATCCCATATTTTTCTGGAAGTACAAAGAGGGCCACAATCCTTTTAGAACAAAGTCTGGCTGTCTCTTAGAAAACTAAACATACATCTATACAGTCGTCCTACAAATTGTACTGCAACGCCGGGCGTTGGTGGCGCACGCCCTTAATCCCAGCACTCAGGAGGCAGAGGCAGGTGGATCTCTGTGAGTTCGAGGCCAGCCTGGTCTCCAGAGCGAGTGCCAGGATAGGCTCAAAGGCTACACAGAGAAACCTTGTCTCAAAAAAACCAAAAAGTAAAAAAAATTGTACTGCAAAGAAATGGAACCATACATTCATGCAAAGATTTGTACAGAAATGCTCATAAAAATTGGCCGATTATAGCCTGAAACAAGGCACCAAGTCACCTGTCACTAGGAGACAATTGAGCTCATGGTTGTAAGAGCTCGAAGATAAATTTCTGCCATTTCCCAAGCACAGCCATTATTTAAAATTATAGCCTAGGGCTGACAAGATGGCAGCTGGTAAAAGCATTCATTGTACAAGCCTGGTGACTTTAGTTCAGTCCTTGGAAGAAGAGAAGTGATGCCTGAACGTTGTCCTCTGGCCTCCACATGTGTGCTGTAGTATAAATGCACCCTCCACTCCCCACAATCACAATGAAGTGCAAAACTACTCTTCAAGGTGTTTGTGCTTTTTGGAATGTCTGCACTACCCTCAATATGAAACAAGTTCTGGCCAGGCATTGGTGGCACATGCCTTTAATCCCAGCACTCGGGAGGCAGAGGCAGACGCAGAGGCAGAGGCAGAGGCAGAGGCAGAGGCAGAGGCAGAGGCAGAGGATCTCTGTGAGTTCGAGACCAGCCTGGTCTACATGAGCTAGTTCCAGGATAGCCTCCAAAGGCCACAGAGAACAAGCTCTGATAGCTTCCTATATTTGCCATGCTTGCTATGGAGTTATCTATGGGCCAATGTGATGGAGAGTCTTTTTTCCTCAGTTGAAGTTCCCTCTTCCCAGATGATCCTAGTGTGTGTCAAGGTGATAAAAACTAACCAGGGCAGCATCTATAGTTCTATTGATGTAGGTGAGCATAGGCTGCCTGGTGACCTGCAAGCACTTTTCTTTGGTCTCCTTCCTCATGGGGGCAGCACACAGCATCTCCTCTCCTGTAGGTAATTAGGGGTCAGGCCTTTCTTAGTAGAAGAGCAGATAAACAAGTCCATCTTAAACCAGTTTTGGGTGTGAGCTGTGAGGGCGAATTTTTCTTTGAACTGGACTATTAAAGGAAAACTGTTTACTTTCTCATGTATTCCCATATGCTTAAAGTTATAGGATAAACGACCCACCAGCTCCAAGATGATCCAATGCTATTTAACACTAAGCCCATCCACCAATCACGGTAGCGGGGATGGGGGTGGGAAGTGGGGGTTGTTACCTAATTCCATTCATCAGGGGAACCTGCTCCTCCCTCTACCCAAACTCATAAAACAATGCTCCAAAAGGATATGGGGCCGGGTGTGTGTGGGGCTGGTGGTGGTGTTAGTCTTTTGTTTAAAAAGAAGAAAAGAGAAATGTTGAGAAATGAGACATAAGACTATAAGTTTATTATAAGGCCCGGCAGAATGGGGAGACTAAGAAGAGGAACAGGGGTAAATGGCTGACCGCCATGGCCGGTCGCCGTAGAGAGAGCACATAGGTGAGAGAGAGAGAGTAGAAAGGAAGCTGAGAGGAAATAGAGAGAGGGAACAGAGAGAGGGAACAGAGAGCATAAATGGGCAGGGGCCTATCTTTTAAAGGGGTCCTCTGTATCTGCGTGCAGACTTAGTTCCCATGGAACCTTGGGCTGACCAGGGTACTGCCTGTTCCACCAGGTAACAGGGGCAGTCCAGCATAATGCCTGAACCTTTCATTCCCACCTCTACTTATTATTAAAAAAAGGTGGGGTGTTTAGATATGGCAGGTTAAGGAATAAGGGTGTCGAATTCTCAAGACTGCTTCCTGCTGACGTGGGGGGCGTTGACCATCTTTGGGGGACCCTAGAAGGTTGGGGTGCTGCCATGTCCTGGGGAAGCTGGTTGTTTCATTGTAGTCCAGG